TACGGCTAGCCGGATCAGGCTAGACCGCAGCGGGAATCCAGCGGTAGAGGCTCACTCAAACAAGCCAAACAACCTAAACACGATGGACCAAACAAACAACGTCGCATTGTGGTTGCAATGCCAAAGTAGAAACCAGACGGAGATGGAAATGTCCCGGAAAGCGACGCCAGGAGACTTGAAGGGTTGAATCTTAGCAGAAGCAGAAGAAGAAGAAGAAGGGTCACAGCATTCCAGCAAGGATGGCTGAGCGATATCGTCTGTAGAATAATCCTCCGTAGCGATGCAGCCACCCACCCGTGATCCCCAGCCAACCAAACCCACCCATCCCATTCATTTCCCTGCCTCCCGCACTTTCAATCCTTCGCTTTGGCTTCACTTTCACCTTCAGGGGGAGCTGCCAATTTGGCCTGGGATTATGCGCCTTGGCAACTGGTAGCAACAAGGACTTTGTCTATATGTCTGTTGACTTGCAATGTACCTGTCCCCGTCCGACCAATCTTGTGTTGTTTGCCGATTTAGATCTACCTGTATTCATTTCACCCTCACCTGCAGCAGCGGCTACACCGTGCGCGCTTTGGCTGCCTTCCCCCTGTCGCATGAAGTGGACTGGCTTTGAGTGTCGGTCAGAGTGAATCACTTTCTTCAATAGTTCGTTGCTTTTCGTCAACTTCATCGCACCATACACTCAGCCTTTATCTCCTCGAGATTATATCCCCGAGGTGGTCCGTGTGGTTATCGCGATCGCGGGGGATCAACAACGGAGAACCCGCCGCCACTCGCAGACCTTCGCAGCCACATCCCTTCTGGCCGGTCAAGTCGGTGATTGTCGCGCGTCGCTCAGCATTCCTCTCGCTGCCGGGAAAGCCTTCCTAGTGGGTGCGCGTGTCGTCGGCCCTTGAATGACACAGCCGCCGCTCGAGAGTTGGGATCTGTTCGGTCACTGCGCGGTTCGCTCAGACAATGTTTACCAGGCCCTCCAAAGCCACCTCCACGGTTACCTCCATCGACATGGTCTCTCAGGCTCAAGTTCTCGATCGCTCCTTACCGGCGCAAAGCACCCTCTCCTCCACGTCCCGCCATTCGCATTCCAGCCGACGACATCGCTCGAGTCGCTCTCACCACGGCGGTCTGACCCATCAACCCCAGAACGAATTCCCTATCTTCACTCATACCGGCGATGTGGAGATCGTGATCCGCGCGGGGGCACAGGAGCAACGTTACCTTCTTCACCGGCTGATACTGACGCAGTGCTCTGGGTTCTTCGAAGCAAGCACCCGGGATGGCTGGTCACCGCAAGCCCCCCCTCGGCCATCCAATCCAGACCCGGGGGTCCTGTCCAGAATCAGCGAGGACACCTCTTCGCTGTCCAACGGCTCAACTCTGGCGCAATCAGAGAGCGGGGGGTCGTCCTGGTCTCCGGAGAAACGGCGCTGGAAATATGAGCTCGACTGGGAAAACAAGGCCGAGGATGAGGAGCCGATCCTCGTACAAAAGGTGTGTATGCCGCTCCTTCCCCTTGCAGCTGACGTCCTCTAATCTGCTTTCAAGCCGCCGAGCTACTCCAGCGCCTTTGGCTGCGAACCCGGGCAGTATCCTCCGTCGGTGACGAAACCATCCAACACACAGACAGGATTCGTCCGATCAATGGCCAACCTGGCCGGGATGCAGTCGGCCGTGATTCTACCGCACCGGAACAGCTCTTCCAACCCGCCAGTAGACCCCATCATCCGTGACTACGACAACCTGTTCCGGATGTTCTACAATTACCCGCCGACGATCAACAGCGTCAACATCGCGACCGCCTACTCCGAGTGCCGCGCTCTGCTCTCCCTGGCGGACATGTACGATGCGCTCCCGGTCACCGGACCACGGGTGGACCATCATCTGCTGGGCTTCGGATCCCGGCTCTTCAAGCAGATCGCCAAGTACCCTCCCAGCTACCTCAAGCTGGGCTACATGGCGCGGAGTCGCGTCATCTTCTCCGAGGCACTGATCCACGTCGTCGGACAGTGGCCGGCTGCTGTGCCGCACCTGCGCAATGGCAGCTACTCGCCGCTCCCGAATGCGGTCCTGGACATCATCGAGGACAAGGTCGAAGACCTCGAAGACCTGAAGGCGCGCGTTGACTCCAAACTGCTCCGACTCACCCTGACCACCTCGCGCGGTGAGCGCGTCAGCCCGACCAACGCCTACCTCGACTGGCTGGCCGTGTCTTTATTCCGACAGTGGTTCGTCGACAGCACCACTCCGCCCCCGCCGCCCATCCTCAAAAACACCCCAACGAACCCGAGCAGCCATCACCACGGTCACAGCCACAGTCACAGCCATGGTCACCACCACCGGTCCACCGCCAACCTCCCCTCATCATCCTCATCCACCTCCCCGCCATACTCGCCCGCGCGCGTCTACCGCCTCATCGGCTCGCCCTCCACCCAAGCCTACCTCCCGCACGACGACCTCAAACGCTTCCTAAAAGTCCACCCCACCCCCTCCGCCGAAGCGCTGTACAACCGCGACGTCATGAAACGGTTCGAGCGCAAGATGGACGAAATCAAACGGCTGGCCCGCGAGATCGTCAAGCCCCTGATGCGGAACTTTCTGGAGCTGGACCTGAAAGACAGCAGCAGCAGCAGCAGTAGTACCGGCCATAGCAGTGAAGGCGGCGGACTACCCTACTTGACCTGCACCAAGGTCGAAGATGAGGATATTCCATGGGAGTGATATGATCCACCAATCAATCACCCAGTGCCACAACTCGACACGCGACACGACCTCCTTTCTTTTTTTTCTACTTGAGCAGCTTCTCCTCCCCCATTTACAATGTCCCTTCTCATTGATTTTGATTCCTTTCGATACCCGGTTCATGAATATAGTTTTTACGGTTGATGGTTGATGGTTGATGGGTTAACGATATACACGGATATGAGGTTTACGTCTACTATTTTTGGTTTTGGTTTTTTTTTTTTTTTTTTTTTTTTTGGTCAAGTCCCTTCCTTACTGATGAATGATGATGCTGTCCACTCGCCCAAACCCAATTAGTCCGTCCTATTCCTAGTCCTAGTGAATGTCTTATGAAGTTATGAATGACAGATAGGGTGTCTCTTTTCTCCTTGTTTCTTCGGGCTCTTGACGTACGCACTTGTCGAAGCGTCATTGATCGTACATTGTAATATAATCTACAGCACCTATGCACAGAGCAGAGCATAGACTCCTTTTTGTGTAGCCATGAAAGAGGAAGAAAGAGAGAGGGATCCTTACAATACACATAACATAATCATACATCCACCGTCATTCCTCGCGGTTCTCACCGCACAGCTCTCAGAGCTGTAGGTATACCATTTACCCCAAAACATCACCTCGACATCACTTCTGCTTCCCGATGACCTCGATGCCGCCCATCCACCCGCGCAGCACCGCCGGCACGACCACGACCTCCCGCGCGGGGTCCCAGCCGTGCTCCAGGATGGCCGCCAAGACGCGCGGGACCGCCATGGCCGTGCCGTTGACGGTGTGCGCGAACCGCGTGGGGCCCTTGGTCTTCTGGGCCTTGCCGTCGCGCACGCGGGTCGCGAGGCGGCGGCTCTGGTAGTCCGTGCAGATCGAGGCGGAGGTGACCTCGCCCCAGGCGGATTCGAGTTGTGCGGCTGCATCATCGACAGCATTCGCGGCCGCGGTGTCCGGAACACTGCGCAGCCGCGAGGGGAACAGGACCTCGATGTCGCGCTTGCGGCTGGCGCTGGCGCCCAGATCGAAGGTGGGCATCTCCAGGACGCGGGCGGGCAGGCCCAGGGACTGCAGGATTTCGGTCTGGATGGTCAGCAGCTCGGCGAAGAGGTCGTCGGATGAGGTAGAGGATGCGAGCGAGTCGGCCCACGCGAACATCTCGACCTTGGTGAATTCGTGGACGCGGTACAGGCCCTTGGTGTCGACGCCGCGGGAGCCGGCCTCGGCGCGGTAGCAGCGGCTGGGGCCGACCAGTTTGAGCGGCAGGTCGGCGGAGTCGAAGGTGCGGCCGGCGTGCATGGCGGCCAGCGGGATCTCGGCGGTGCCGGCGAGGGCGCGCTGGGGTTTTGCGCCGTCCTTGTCGGCCTGCTCGAGGGTGAAGATCTGCTGCTCGTTGTGCTGGTCGCGGGGCTGGAAGCCGCAGGCGTCGGCGATGTGCGAGTAGACGATCGAGGGCGGGGAGACGGGCTTCCAGCCGTGGCGGCGCGCCACGGTCAGCGCGTACTGGATGAGGGCCTGCTCCAGGAGCGCGCCCTCGTTGGTGAGGAAGTACCAGCCCCAGCCCGTGGTGGTGGCCGAGCTGGTGAAGTCGAGGAGGCCTAGCGTGGTGCCGATGTGGACGTGCGACCGCGTTGGGTCGGGCTGGGAGGCCCAGTCGGGCAGCGGGGAGGCCGGGTCGAAGTTGAGGTAGGAGATGAGGGTCGGGGCGTCGCCGACGGGCGTGTCGGCTGAGGACAGGTTTGGTAGGGAGAGCGCCAGCCGCTGCATCTCTTCATCGCAGGTCTGCTGCCGCGTGAGCTGGGCCTGGGAGTCGCTTCTCAGGCGGGTCGCTTCGGCGCGTAATTGGGAGATGCTGGGTTCGGTGCAGGTGGCATCGTCCGGGTTCTTGGCTTGAGCGGCGGCGAGCTCCGCGATGGCTTTCTCGAGTTTCTTGATCTGGGACCGTGGGTTCCGGAGGTTAACGTCGATCTCGCCGATCTCGTCGTACAGCTGCTGGATGGTGGAGGGGTGTTGCGTGTGGGCTGGGTAATTGCGGTCGCGACAGTTCTGGGCGTATAGCTCGGGGTTTTTGCGGATGTGCTTCACGTCGGGGGTGGGCTTGGGCGCGGTCGGCGGTCGGACCAGCTGGGAGCGGCGGCGGGCGGAGGAAGAAAAGGTGCGGCGAGTGAGGGATCTGCAGCCGAGGCAGATATAGGGGGGGTTTGGCGGAGGCATTTGAGGAGAGGCTGTGCTGTGTGGGATTGAGTTGAGGTTGAATGAGGCAGCAGAGGAGGAAGAGCGGAAGAGAGCTGGAGATTATTGATGGGTCGACCATGGGCGGAGCAGACATGCCATCGCGGGCCCGCACCACCTTTCCCGATCGGGGATTTACACTATATCGGCTGCATACATGCTATGCCGAGAAACAATCGGTGCCAAAGTCATATCCTTTCCAAAGCTACTCACTCATATAGTCCCACCCCAAACCAACTATACCACACCTCTTCCCCTCTCCTATAGTCCCTATTTACCCCCTCCCCAACTGCCACCCCTAAAACCCCAATTTATGCTTCCGAATCCTCGCCCCAACGCCAACCACCACCAAAACCGCCCCAATCAGCACCCCCCACAGCGGAATATCCAACACATTGACGTTGTACGTCGTCTGCGTCGCCGCGGCCACCGTCGCCAACTCCAGCACCAGCAGCAGATACCCGGACTGGCGGTGGTACTTGTACAGCGTCTTGCCGCGGTCGACACTGCCCAAGACCTGTCGGGGCAGGAAGTACTGCACCACGCCGCCGACCGCCTGCAGGATGATCACGATGTAGGTGATCAGTCCCAACACGCCGTGCGGGGAGGTGAGCCGGGCGTGGTCGCCCTTGTTGATCTCGATGATGAGGAAGGCGGCCAGGAAGCTCAGCACGCTCAGGGCTTGGATGGTGTAGTGGACGACGGTGCCGCGGCGTTTTTGGGCGGCGGTGGCGGTCGGCTGGAGGATGAGGGCGGCTTGGATTTGGAGGAGGAGGGCGGCGGAGTTGAGGAGCTGGAGGGGGGAGGTTAGATGGACCGGTGGGATGAGAGGGAGGGGAGGGGGAACCGACTGGGTGCGGGGAGAAGAAGATGAGAGGATGCGAGAGGATGCCGGTCCAGACGAGGATGGTGATCTGGTTGGTGGCATTCGGTTAGTAGAATGGCTCGATGAATGAGTGGCTGGATGTGGTGGGATCTTACCAGCAAGATGCCTACTTGGGCAGCGAGGGCAGTGCCTGGAAGGTCGGATGAGGTTCAGTCAGTGGTTGTTCGTGATATATTTTGAGTGCTGGGATACGCACCTCTGTAGAGGTTGGGATACAAAGAAGCATTGTCGTCGTCGGACTGAAGCCCATTGCCGGGAGTAGACAACAGCGGAGAATCCTCGCGGGAATCGATGCTGTCGGGATGCAGCTGGGGGATGCCTGTGGCGGAGGCCATGAGGGCGTTGTAGTTGTTACAGGATGGCTCAAAGAGATGATGAGACTCCGAAGTATAGAAGATCGATGATCAGATACAAACACCAGGAAGGGATTGTTGGAAGTGGCCAATGGGCAGGGGGTTATATGTCAGAGAGTCCGTAGCGAGCATGACGAATGTGGGGAGCGAAATGATGAATTGCTGCGGGGAAGATTGGAGTTAATTATGGAAGTAGATAGACCGTAACGTCAATACAAGTTCAGTTCCAGTAAGTAACTCATCGCCCCGAGTGTTTTCAATATCTCCGAAAGACTCCGGCTCAGCATCTGTCTATAATATAACTTCAAGTTATCAGGATGCAATCCTCATCAGCTCTTGTGTTACTTTCTGGTAGGGGGTCAAATAAAAAGCAAGAAATGAAATCAGTTCATGAGTTCAAACATATGAAAATTGAAGGTGTAATTATACTAAATTCTTGTAAAGTCAGAAATTGCTTTGTCTGATTGAGAGATTTTGTGGAAACTATTGAGATAAGGAAGAATCCTTATCTTACCGTACTGTACTACAGTGCTACCACTATAGTGCTACCACCACCACCACCGTCACCACCACTGTCAAACCACCCCCCATTAATTATCATCCGGAGGCATCCACCGCAGCTATTCCGAGTCCTCACTAGCATCCTCGGGCGCGGTGAAGTAATCCGAGCCTAGACGCGGACCGGGGGAGCACGTGCCCTCGGTACGTGCTACGCGAACAGCACGGCGGGCCTCGAGAGCCGCTCCGTCAGTCTGAAGGGCATAGTCTCCATAGTGATAACCACCCGGCTGGTGAGTGGAGGACTGGCAGCGAGCGATGCTTTTGGATCTGACTCGAGGGGGCCGCGTCTCGACATTTTTGGCAAAGTGTTCCGCCCAGGTGGCCTCGCGAGGCACGGTTTGAACGGGGGTCGCTTCATCATTGGTGGCGGTTGCAGCAGGATCAAAATTAGGATTCTGCGCCCCCTTGCCATCAGTAACAGTGACAGCTGCTCTCTTGGAAGCGGCGCCAGTCGACTTCGCGACAGTTGCAGGGCGACCTGCGGGGTGTGGGGTGGATGCACGAGGTGGAAGAGTGTGAGGGTGTGGCGCCCTGGGGCGCAGGCCCTCCTTCTCTGCCCCGAACTGAACGTGAGCTTGTTCTTCGGACATTGTCAGTTTGGGTAAGACTTAGCTGAAGTGGCCTGTTGGTAGACAGAACCGGTCAGTGGCAATGTATGGCGGTTTGGGGATGAGTAGCATTCGATCTGCTGGTGGGATTCGTGTCTTTATATAGTTGCCAGTCAATCGGGAAAGAACAACATTCACTGTCAATTTCATAGTATCATCTGGCAACTACATCAAAGAGCACTATTATTGAGTCTTGAATGGGGGAGCATTCGAGGCTTTCAACGAACCGAAATCCTCCACCATCAATCGTGCCTGATACCAACACAAAGGATTCTGAAGCTATTATCTATTGTCCGCGATATACCAGTGCCGGTCTCTCCCGTCACCGCCAGGGCAACTTGATCACCGAACTCTCCATCCCCGATCCAGGCTTGCCAAACACAACCTCTGCTCCCAGGTTGCCGTCCTCCAACCACATCACGATATTGAACAAAGTCGCTGTCCGGACAATCTTCGGCTGTGCTGGATCCTCCTGCCAGCAGATCGACTGCGGGCCGTCGCAGGTATCGGAGAAGATCTGACCGCGAAGCACCGTACCCGCAAGCTCAGCGCCATCCCCACCGAGGACTTTGCTGTCGACGATCTCTCTCGCCAGCTCACGCACCCGGGCCAACCGGACTGGCGACCCGGACAGCCACGGCGGCTCGATAACCCGCCGGTTAGCCAGGAAGTGGTTCGTGTGGGTGACCATGCCGTACTCGTCCTCGGCTAGATGCTCGTCCCCGAGAGGGGAGAGCTCCAGCCCGAGGGCGACAGTAGGGTCTGCGATGAGAATGTGCTGGCTGGAGGCGACGCCGCCCAGGGAGGACAGTTTCTGAACCGCCGCGTCGACGGAGTCGCTCTCCAGACACAGACGCAGGGCGATATGGATTGGCAGTTTGGAGCTGAGACAGGGATGGGCGCGGATGGCGTTGAGGCAGACGCCCACGCCGGCGCTGTTGAAGCCGATCTTGCCGACGATGCCGGCCTGCTCATTGTCAGCATCTGCATGACTGGCACGCTCAGCCCGTACGGATTCTCACTTCAGTAACCATGTAAATGACTGGCTTATCTGGTTGGATGATCTCGACCAGTGCGAGATTGCCCTGTACGCGAGTGGTGAAATCCCAATTCTGGGCGAGGATGCGGCCCCGTCCCCTTCGGTGCAGCGCGAGACTCGTGCAGCCATCGGCGAACTTGCCGAAGGAGATCTCACTGCGGCAGTTCAGGGCGACAATCTCCAGAAGTGTGATGCCCGCCCCGTCGGCGATGCCTTGCATTTCGGCCAGGAGGTCAGGGGTGGACCGCGCGATGGTGGCGCGGAATTCGTCGGCCAGGTCGAGCACGTCATCCCAGGACATCTTCGAGGTATGTTGGAACATGGCCTCGTAGACGGCGAGTTGGTTTCTGATCTGGGAAAAGAGCTGCTTGCCATGTTGCAGGCCGATCTGCGACGGTCAGATGCGATGATTGATACCGAGGCACTGCACTGGAGGTAAGCAACTTACTTCTCGCGGCGTGCCAGTTAGCACTATCTTGGGGGGTTCTTCTATCTCCACATGCATAGTGAGACTGTCGCGTCAAGCAGATCGATGCAAAGGAGCAAAGGAAGGGAGGGGGGAGAAAGACGGTGCAACCTGCGCGGGGGAAGTTCTTATCAATCACTTGCGCCCGCATGGCCAAATGCGGGGAAAGCAAATCATGATAACCACTTAAGCCAGTGTTTACATGCCTGCATGCAACCTAAGTAACTATGAGTTCTCTATGAATTCACTTTCCCAACACCTCGCTTAGGGGTAGCCGGCTCCCACAAACATGAAGACGATAATTCCAAAGCAGTATCAGATCGAGAACAGGAACAGGCGAACAGCCTATCCTACTCTCTCTTGGTTCAACTCCCACACCCACACCAGGCACCCATCCATACTGAGATCCACTCCACTGTTCCTTCAGCCGTCTCTCACTATTCTCTCTATCAAAAAACGTACACACTCTTCATCAAACCCACACACTCTCTCTCTCGAAACACACACTCTCTCTATCAATCTCACCCTCGGTCTCTCTCCCTTCCATCCAGAAACCTCACCAACCTCACTAACCATCCCACCTCCAACCCCCAAACCAAAATGACCAAACCCAACCCAACCATCACCGAACAGCTTCAGACCACCTACGACGCCCTTCTCCGGATCCTCTACACCCACACCGACGCGCAGGGCATCTCGCACCGGCCCTACGGCCTCGACTGGATCGACTTCGAGCGCCTGATGTACCGCCTGCTACTCCTGCAGGGGCTGGCGCGACACGGCGATCGCATCGCCCACGACCCGTGGGTGCTGTTCCTGGACCGGTATGCGCCGCGCTCGGTGCGCCGCTCCCCGAGCGAGGCCGGGCGCCTGGAGGTGACGTTTTTCCCCAGCTCGATTCTGCAGTCGCCTTCCTCCGGCTCTGCTCCGCGCTTGATTTCTGTGGGTGTTGTGCAGGGAGGTGTGGATGGTGGTCGTCGTAGTAGCACCATCGGCAATGTCAACGGCTACACCAACGGCTACACCAACGGCTATACCAACGGCAACACCGGCAACACTACCAGCCACAATGACAGCAACAACTACGCCTCCATGAATGGTGACAGCACTGGATCCCGTCCTCGGGTGGACTCCAACGGCCACGTGCACTTCGATCATACGGCTGTGCAGCGGGATCCGAGTCGGAGACGCTCGCCTTCTATTCCGAGGTACTTCCAATGACTTTTCCTTTTAGGGACAGGTGAGTTTGAGACTCTTAGACAGAAGAGCGAGACTGTTGATGAGTGTGCAGAATTACGTTAAGAAAGAGATGCAGTTTACCCACACTCAACGCTGTCAATGTCTGTGTGCTCGACTGATAAAGCCATCACCTTTGATTTCTTCTGAAGGAGAAAGAATGATATGCATGATGCATCTGATGCTAGATTACGTGGAGGTGTTCTCTGGAGTTGGAGTTCGGGCTGACTTTTGTTCTGGCAATGTGTACAGAGTACTCTTTGATTCATGGTAAGTTCTTTTTGCTGATGCAGGGGGGGGGGGTGGTGGTTGTGTTTCGGTAGAGTGTACAGCGTATGTTTTCATTCTGGTATGGGCTTGAGATTGTTATGAGAGATGATGAAGATGATTCTGAAAGTCTATGGGCTGGATAGGATGTGATGGAATGGCGTCTAGGCTTTTGGTCCGGCGTTCGCCAACTACCTTACATATCTTCGAGGAGTTTGAGTTGGGTGGTGTTTTCGCAGGCGTTGTGTTGTGTATGCACAAGCGCGTGGACTGCACAACCTGGGGATCAGAATCTTTCCTGCGTTTCTGTTATCAATGTATAGTACAGAGCTTGTACCTACCTCTGAATTACTCTCTTGTCTCATGCAATGCACTGGGTTCAGTAAACATGATAGGGTACTCATCGGACGTTGTAGATGCGCAACCAGACCGGCAAACACTAACTTACCCACTCCTCTTTATCCTAATATCACCATATAAGATCAATATTGTATATGTACACGTTATCAAAGCCCCAAAATGACATCAAGCAAATAAGGTCTTGACATTAGCAACCTCAAGGAGAAAGCCTGATTTCAATTAGCAGTAAGAATAACCAGCCATACAAGTTTATAGTTGTTAACTTAGAGGATGCCGACGCATGAACTTTACTTTCATATAGAAATTAGACTACGATATTGAGTCTAGGATGAGAAAGAAGCAGTGAAACATACACCATCTGGAAAATAGATGGTGTTCGGGAGGGGCATGAGGTACTGTACTGTATGTAGTACAGAGCAATAAAGTCTTTGCCGCAGTCAAAAGTGGCAAACATCCTCACTTCTCACTTATACCTATCCACCTTCGCATGCATTGTCAGAGCCCCCCCAGCTGTCAGGTGCAATTAACGCCGGGGGGGGGGAAGGGCTCATGAGAAATCACCAAACCAATCATGCTAGCCCACGGAGCGCCGCAATTTAAGCTTCAAAACTCACTAACAGCTGCCCGTGCGGATTGGGAACCCTCACTTTCGTTTGCGCGAGTGTCAATTTCCCTGTATCTTCCACTCTACTGCCTGTGGACTGCCTTAAAGGTCCCTCAGCTACGGTCAACCATGGGCAATGCAAGTGACCCCAATTCGAAGAGGGGGTCCAAGTGGCATTTGAGTCGTGTCTTGGAAGCGCTTTCCCTCGAAGAAAGAGAAAGGTCGAGTCGATTCAGCGCAGCGACCACTTGGCCTAGTACCTGGCACGACGACGAGAGTCATCCAGTACAACTACTAGCCACGGCACCCTTCCAGAATCCCCTGCTCTGTCGCCTTTCGCATCGTCCATCGCGCTTCGCTCGAAGAATCCCACCGCTCAAACTACGACCAATGTGCCGAGGGTAGCCCTCGACAGGCTCTGGGAGGAGTCATATGAGCAGCTTGCTGATGATCCGAGTCATGCAAGACTCGTCAGCGCCTAGGAGAGATGTCTGGCTCAACAAGGCGATACCGGGCATGATGTCTCAGAGCCCATTGGCATCGCTCTCCGTTTGAGGTCGGTGATCGAAACCCGCCTTGAAGAAATAAAACACTCGCATGTCAAGTTCACCTTGGCAGGGCGGGAGATCACTGTCAACCAGCAGATACGCAGGGTCGCGGACAGGATTTTGTCGGTGAAGGACTTGGTCACGACAGCCGTGAGCGCCGAGCCGCATGCGGCTTTGGCCTGGGCCGGGGCTTTGGTCTTCTTGAACCCTTTGGCGAATGCTTTCACACAAGATGCACGAGGCATGGACGGATTCGAGGAGATCGAGATCCAAAAAATCGAATGACGGCCGGGAGCTGGAAACGCTGGCACTTTCAGTCAGGGAACAGATCGTGAAGATGTACAAGGCTATTATTCAGTATCAGATTAGTCTTGCACGGCACTATGAACATCCTGGACTTCTGCGGTTTCTGGAAGATTTTGCAACCCCTCGGGGCTGGGCGGGGATGCTTCAAGAAATCAAGGACATCGAGAAGTCTGTCACTCAGCATCTCAGTATTATGAACACGTCAACACTGGTGCAGATTGACAAAACCCTGGAGAGGCTCCAAGCCAAAGTTGAGGACTCATACGAGGTGATGAACGAGGTTCGGGGTAATACACAGGTAAGGTGACCGACCTACTTAACTCTACGTCCCTGCGGGGTTAAATCTATGGCTGACAGGTCACGAAGACTCACAAATACCGACAATTCGCCCAGATCCTCGCGCCCAAAATTGCTCCGCAGGCCAGATTTGAATGCTTTGAGAGTCAGTACAAGACAGCATGCTTCGAGGGCACTCATGTCGATGTGCTCGGACAAATCTATGCCTGGGTTGTATCGCCTGGGCCCGAACACATATATTGGCTTCGAGGAATAGCCGGGACTGGCAAATCTACCATCTCACGAACCATCGCGACTCAGTGCCTCAATTGTCTTGGAGGAACCTTCTTCTTCGACCAGAATCAAGGTGAGCTAAGCACTGCCCCATATTTGTTCCCCACGCTCCTACGCTTTGCACGGCGATTGCGGATTGTCTACCGGATATCAGATCGGAAACCTGCGAAGTCAATAAAGACCATCGAACATCTTGTACGAGTCGCTCAGCAAGCAGCGGAAGCACTTGATTCTCGAGCCTTTCTTGAGACTGGAGGAGCAAAACCGACATCCAGCATTGACTCTGGTTGTGGTCATAGATGGGCTTGATGAGGACAGATCTGATCGCAATGGAGATAACATTGGCACCATCTTGACCCTCATCGCCGAGGTCTCCCAAGGGAGTCCATACGGCTGAGATTCCATCTGACTAGCCGGCCAGAAAGTCACATCCTTTCAAGCTTCGAGGCTATCTCTCGATCTTCAAATGCCTACATGTCAGTGAACTCCAAAAGATAGAACCATCTACCGGAATCGATGTTCCTGATGATGACCCCACGAGATTTCTGCGGGCTAAGGCTCGAGAGATCACGAAAAAACACTTTGAGCTTAAACCCGACTGGCCTGGTGAGAAGAGGCTCGATGCTAGTTGGTTGGTTGGTTGGTTGGTTGGTTGGTTGGTTGGTTGAACTACCTACTGGTACAGTACCTAGCTATGTTCTCTATGTGTAAACATGAATCACGTGGCCGGATTACTTAGGAATACCGACAAGTTCACTGAAGTATAAGATGTTAATCTCTCTCCAAATCTATCAGTCTGCCCAGTCCATAGGTTAGACCTCTATTCAAACGACTTGCATTAAACACTTCTTCCTCGTCTATCAGATTGATCAACCATAGCAATGATGTTAGTAGTACATGTATACCGGTCTATATCTTCAGGCTATTGTAGGCAAGCCTATCGATATCCAAACATCAGAGTGAGTCAGAATCACAAGGAGGATAGTGACGGTGACGTGAGAGAGAGAAGGAGGAAAGGATATCGAGAAAGAGCGATGGAGAGAGTCAGCCAAGTAAGCCCAAGACGACTGGAAGACCAGTAAGCAAGAATCTCGACCCTCCTCGCAATCAAAGTTTGCCAATGCAGTGGCTGAAACAGTGGCATATCTGCTTATCCCCAGCTTCGGGCCTATCGTACCAAGTGGCGGCGTTTCCTTTCCCTCAGAAAGCTCTCAGAAACGAAAAAGAAAAAGGGCTGATTCGGTTGTGTGACGGCGGAGGTTTATACATAGTAACATAGTCACTGACTTCGAGATTCACGTTGATTGAAGTATACCCGCCCATATTGTTATTTATCATCTTGCCGCTCCAGTCGCCGTCCTCCTCTCCACTGATGACTGAGACATCATGGGGTGGGTACTGTACCTAGCCCTATACCTTATCGACGAATTGTAAGTATCAGCTACGTTTCTTAAGCAGTGTATTCTGTTCTTGCAGAGAGAGGGGGGGGGGTCCTTGCTTTGGCATTGATGAAGCGGAGGCGACAGTGGCAATTGCATGATATCTATCCCTAGTACTGCACATACAGGTTCTCTTCTTTCTTTTTCAGTTTCGTGGGATGGGGGCTTGGGAAGCTGTAGTCCAGTTCAAACAGTGACCTACTATACAAGGTAGCTGTATATCTATGTATAGTGCAGTACCTTAGAGTGCAGTACCTAACCAGTCACCTTGGCAGAAGATGGTATAGCCTTCCTAAAAAGGCAACAAGATAATACCCAACTAACCACTTCCTTCTTCCCTGGAAACACCACGAAATCCCAAGAACACGCATTCCCGTACTTCAACTCCACCCCTCATGCAGACCGCTCCAACCAAGACAGAAATCGTTACCATTGCCACAGGAGAACAGGAGACCTAACCCCCCATCAGAGCCGTTACGACGAATCCTGCACCAGCAAGTCGAGCATCACTTTCATCATTGCTAACTCAACGCTCACAGCATTCCAGTCCAGTGACACGGCAGTCACGATCTCACCTGGTTCTGTACCTAAGTACCTATGTGAGTAAGTCATTGTGCGTATCCGTACGCAATACGCAGTACGCAGGAGAAAGTTAACACTCGGGTCGGATCGTCGACAAGGCGACGTTGACGTTGACGTCGACATCAGCAGATCAGATCAGATCGCATCCCCTTAGCCCAGCCCTAGCCTCATGATCTACACCACCCGAAAGAGACAGGGGGTCCAGGGATCTACCTGTCTCTCGCTTCGACCGTTGGAAAGTCTTGTCTCAGACTGATTCCAACCGTTGCGTCCCCCCGCCCTTGCCGGAATGAAGGATAGTCACTTCCTTCAGAGGAGGCAGATCGCATTACTAGATATCTGCAAGGAGCCCGTTGACCGGTTGAGGACCGCATGATCAAATCATACACACGCACAACAGACATACAGTATCCACGGATGGAGGCATGAACCATGCATTGCCTGGAAAGGGAAATGAGAAGAAGGTAAAAAGGAGAAAAAAGGTTCATTAACCCTTTCAGAGAGACTAACTCAGTCAGTATGACAGTTGCGTCGCTCCAAGGACACTGGCAGAGCCGCTTGCACCCTGAGATCCAAAGTCCTGTCTGTCATCGGAGATCCCCCTTTGAAGCGTCCTAAGAACGGCAACGTCAGGAAAGATCATAGAACCAACCCTCCCCAACCTTCATTCTTGCCCATTCTGCCCGTCATTCTTTCCTGATTCTCTTCGAGTCTTCCCTTCGCCCCTGAAGGTTGCACAACAACGCATCCAGCGGCTACATGCAGATCACTTCGGAAAGAGCCACGAATCGGGGATTATAAGGCCAAACTGTCATCGAGGGCAGCAAGAGCTCGCCCCCTATACCAGTACCGGCGGCGAAAGAAGGAGGCTGCTGCTGCTCCTGCTGCTTGTCCACGACCAAAAGAAGTAAACCAGGGGTTCTCCTTGCTTTTCGTCCGTTGGGAGTAGCCGTGAAGCCACACCACACACACACACACACACACACACACATCTGTTTCTGTAACCTTGGACCCCCCATTTTACCCCGGAAAATACCCAATGTCCCGACCAGGTAGGCATCACCTCCTGGCGCTCGCTGGGACACCTAGGCTAAAGATGAACGACAATCCTCTCAGGGACAGAATATGCGACACTCTCTCATCTGGGCGCCCTGTTTCTTTTTGGCGGGTAACTGGGATCAACCGGTGTAACAAACAGGTCGCATGGCCTTACATTTTCCTCCCCTCGGGGTATGGTGCTCGTGTTGGAAAGACGGGGTCTAACTTGGGTGAGCTTTCGCTAGCTATGATGAAGAAGGCGGAATTTTCAGCGGCCCATTACATATGCAAGATCCGCACCAGCAATATGATAAAGGGAAGAGAGGGTTTGAGCATACCTCCCCCATCGCCGCACCTCCCCATCGCCGCCATCGATCCGGACCAGGTTGTGGGGGTCGTTTTGGAAGAAACGGGAGGATAGGCTGCGCTTTCAGGCACAATCATGAAAAGCCCAAGGCACTGCAGCAGGGTAATTGAAACCACGCCTCCCGCTCGCCCCCTCCTCCATCGCCATAACCCCCTCCCCCAATCTCCCCTAGACTGGCCGACGATAGGCTGCGCCGGTGTCATCTTGACGGTTTCACAACTCATCCCAAACAGGAAACGAACGATACCGTCATCCGTTTCGGCGATTGGCCCCCTCGGGCAACAATCACGAGATAACGACACGATTGGAACTGGGCACGAATGAATCTCGAACACTTCATCAGCTCATCCCAGGGAAGAGGAATTTATAGAAACCAGATAATAAAAAGTGGTGCTGGCTTCCGAGTCTGTCGTCTTTGGGCCCTCACTTTCTTTTCCTCGTCCTTGTTGGCAACAGGTGCATCTGATGGGCCTTGTTGGTATCACCGTGGTCCCTGTCACAGCAGAGACAGACACTGAGGAATATTAGGGTCTGGGAGGCAACAGATTAAGATAAAGACCAAGAAAATCCTTGACTTCCATTGAAGAATCGCTCTCGAGCCCATTCCAGCCGTTCCTCCTCCTCCTGTCCCTTCTGGAAATCCCGCAGAAAAATAGCTTTCTCTCGAACAAACCCGTTGGGGTCTTGTCTTCTCCCTCTCTTCTTCATATACCTGGGGAACACCACGAGTGACTTCCACTACTTGACACAGCAAAGCCCCCCTCGTCTGACTAAAGCTCTATCGAACCTCATTGGCTTCTTGCTGCCCTTGGGCCCCCTTTCACCACTTGATCTTCTGTGATAATCGCATCCTCTCACGGTCTTTCTCTGACGCTCTCCACATCTACCTCTGGATAGCAAGTCGGCCCGCCATGCCACCCAAGGGCCTTTACCACCAGACTGCGCTCCCCGAAGCACGCGGGCTGAAGTATGACGAGTCCGATATGGCTCTATTCCACGCCAAACTCTCCTACCACTCCACCATCGAAGCCCGCATGGCATCCAAGGACTCCAATCTAGCATCGATCTCGGATGCCCAGGCGCGGATCCTCAAGCGCTGGGAGATGTTAAAGCAGGTGGAGAAGGAGATGGCAGATAAGGGCAAGTCTCTGTCACCCGCAGAAAGAAAGCAGCTCGCCCAATACGAGTGGCGGTATAAACGACTGGAGGAGGTGGCGACCCAGAGCACTAGCTGAATTGGAAAAAAAAAAAAACAAAGAAAAGGAACGAGAAGAGAAAAACAAACACATATGACATCGTCGAAAGTGGGGAAAGATAGCATCACTGGCGTTGCTTTAGATGTGGATTCGAACAACGCACTGGTGTCAATATCAATTGCAAGTGAAGAGTTGCGCGTTGTGGTTAAAAACTGGATTCTGGAGTCCTTCCATGTGTTTTTGGTTCGGTTTTGGGCTTGATTCTGTTGTGTTCTTTTTTAAGGGGGTCTCTCCTCTCTCATTCTGTTCGTATGAGTTGAATGAATGTTGAATCATCGGTTCCCACCTCTACCCCAAATATGATGGAAGTCGCTCATGCTTCTTGACTTATCAATGCACCGAGTGACTGCAATGACCTCATCTTCCAAAGGGTGAGTACACTCGTGACTAGCTCACGACTCAAGGTAGGTAGGGTAGACCTCCCCTCCCTCCTCCCGCGAGAAGCTTTCACATAGTTCATAGGGGGGGCAAAAAGAAAAGAAGTAAAAATAGAAAAAAGAAGAAGAAAAATCCCCGCGACGTCACTAATGTAACATAGCCTCTCCGAGTCGAACACAGCATCTTGCACTTACACTGTAACTGTAACCAAAGAGGCGAAGCCCGCCTCCCCCACCCCGATGTAGATCAAGTACGATACAGTACTTCATCAAGATCAGATCAAGCATGTGTCTCAGACAAGCCACAGAAAAAGAAGAATAAACAATAAGGAGTATGCCAAAAGTGGGGACCAAGTGGCGCTCACGGCATCTTTTCGTCTTTTTTTCCCCCCCTTTTCCTTTTTCGACTGTAGGTATATATGTCTTCATTCGAGGGTCGAGTCACGTCACGCAAAAGCCATTGAATCGTGGAACAGCTCGTCCTCCCTCCTCTCTGGTGTCCTACATCGGGCACGCGACATGCCATCTTCGGCCTAGTAGTTCCTGCCACAATCCAGAACCCAGGGAAGTCAAGGCCGTGTCAAAGTCGCGGCCTGTGGTGTTGACACACACGCGGGCGCGCGACTCCCCGTCTTTGGGGGGGTCAATTACCACATGCCACGCATCTTCCGCCTCCGCCTCCGCCAATTCTGACAGGAGATGGGAGGGGGGGGAAGGGGGGGTTTATCCGAGGGAAAACGACATGGACAAGAGGGGTTTGGTGTTGGGAGGAGTAGGTAGCGGTGCGGTGAGGCGTGTGAGAGGAAGAACAGTCACGGCACGGCAAGTTTCAGGACCAGACCACCATACAGTACATTGCCTGACAGGTTTTTGATTTCTCCCTGAGGCATAGTAGTAGTAGTAGTAGTAGTAGTAGTAGTAGTAGTAGTCGCTGTGGAAGGTGTTCCTGTGAGTGTTGGTTTCCCCTCCCTTCCCCCTCTCTCTCTCATGGAAATAGAGTTGCAATTGAGGATGTGTGTGTGTGTGTGTGTGTGTGTGTGTGTGTGTGTTCCCCTCGGAAAGATGCGAACGTCGGAGACCTCCGAACGGATCCTAAGGGGTGAAGAGGTGGGTGGGCCCGGTGGGTGTCTGTCCGCTGTTGACAGCTTGGGTGTGGTATTGATTGAGGTCTGATTCTATAGCTACCTCTGTTAGCAAGTGAGCTGAAGAATGAGGGAAGCTCAGATTAACATACCTGTTATCGTTCAGTAAGATCACGCAGTTGAATGTAGACAATGAAGGTGGAAACAACAAGTGGGAAGGACGTTGTTGGAGAAGAAAGATTAAAGTGGGGAAAGGCAGGCGATGAAGCGATAAGATCGAGTAATGCGGGAAAATCGGCGGGGGGAAGCATTTCTTATCGCGGGCGGTGGTTATCGGGAATCGGCAGTGCCCCTCGCCTTGACGTCGTCTCTATAAAATGCCATGCAATTCCTCCTCTTCAAAGATTCCTCCTCTTCCTCCACACCGATCACTCTCTTCTCTCCCCAATCCCTCCAACACCTCTGGAAAAGTCCACTCTACCTATCCGCAGACACAGACCCGCAAAAGAAAAATCCGCCATGGCCACCACCACGGAATACCCCTACATCCCCAGCGCGGAGATCGACCGCACCTTCGCGCACACGACCAACCTGGCCTCGTCGGCCCTGAACACGCGCATTCTAGCCTGCAGCAACGAATACTTCGCCGCCGCGTCCAACCTGCTCACGCCGACGGCGCCGATCAACCGCCCGGGAGTCTTCATCCACACGGGCGCCTGGTACGACGGGTGGGAGACGCGGCGCCACAACCCGGCGCCCTACGACTGGGTGGTGATCAAGCTGGGGCCGCGGCGCGCCGCCATCCAGGGCGTGGAGGTCGACACGGGCTTCTTCGTGGGCAACTACGGCGAGAAGGCCGAGGTGCAGGCCACCTGCTCCGACGCCGACGACGCCACCCTCGCCGACCCCAACTACGCCGGCTGGTCCACCATCCTCCCGCCCCAGCCCTGCGGGCCCGCGCAGCGCCGCGCCTGGATGCTCCCCGGCTACGACCCCAGAAACCCCACCCCCTACACCCATGTGCGCTTGCTCATGTACCCCGACGGCGGGTTCGGGCGGTTGAGGCTGTACGGTCATGCGATCCCCGCGGCGGCGCGCGGGGAGGGGGTGGCTGCTCAGGCAGAAGAGGAAGAGGAGGAGCTGTCGTCGGCGCTGTGCGGCGGGCTGGCGCTGGCGGCCTCGGATCAGCATTATACCCCGTGCTCGAATCTGTTGCTGCCCGGCCGCGGGAAGGATATGGGCGATGGGTGGGAGACGGCGCGGTCGCGCGCCCCGGGCCATGTCGACTGGGCGATCGTGCAGTTGGGCTTGCCGGGCTCCGTGTCTAGGGTCGTCGTCGATACCAAGGACTTCCGCGGCAATTTCCCCCGCGCGGTAAGGGTGCACGGCTTGGTGAAGGGGGAGGTTGGCGAGGCAGGCCCCGTCGCCGTGCCCGCCCATGATCATCCCGGCTGGGTGGAGATCGTCAAGGGCGACCAGCGCTGTCAGGCGGATACCGAGCATGTCTTCCAGGGGGCGGATCTGGCCGCGGGCGTCGATGCCCAGGCCTTCACCCATGTGAAGCTGACGCTCGTGCCGGACGGGGGCGTCAAGCGCTTCCGGGTCTTTGGCAGACGGGCCTAGGCTCTTGCGGCTTGTGAAGAGCGTGCTTTCTGTTTAGTATATAATCTTTCCAGCGTGGTAATTGCAAATAATGAGAAATACGATTCTACAGGAATATATGATCCAGATGATCACGGGGAGGTTTCCAGTCCAGTGGTGTGTTTTCGACATGTATCTAAGCATATGTTACAGTCAAAAGCAGGAAGAAGGTAAGCTCCGTATAAATCATCGTTATAGCTTGCTAGCAGCCAGACTAGGTAGGGTATATCACTATAAAAATTCAATAAATCTACTTCATCGTGAGGGATCAACAATCAATCGTTCGACAACAGTGGAGACGCCGCGGTGAAAATAACGCATGCTCGGTTGGGTGTTGCAAATACAATTCCAGAAGGTTAGAAAGGTCGTGCTCGTGAAAAAGCTGGTATCGGTATCGGTGAATAGGGCCCGCGCCTAGGCAGAAGAAGAAAGATGGAGGGGTTTTCTCAACACTGATCCCCTGAAAGAACAAACTGACGCCATGAACTAGAGGCCCGGAAGTCCAAGGAACAACACAACAAGCATGCAAACCCCCGCCCCGTGTGAATGCTGAAAGGTATCAATTCGAACTGGCATGCCGAATGCAAACAAATGCCATGGAGGAACGTTGTCGCAACCGTGATAAGTGTGGCGTAGAAAGCAATATCAATCAAGACTCGAAATATCATCCGGGGCGCCGTTCCCTCCGACACTTCGTTCCCGGTCCCAAACAAAAAGAGAAAAAGTAACGAAAGATAATATAAACCCCCTTGGCACAAAGAAATAAATCGGGTTTGAATACGTAACAGTACATTGTGGCACTCTCTGACTGCTGCTGCTGGAGGTTGGAGACGCGCAGAAGGTTGAGAGACAAAAGAGGAATTGCCGACGTGCGATCAAGGACGGTTCGCGCTGGCGAAAGCATCTATTCGGGGCGGAACTTCTCCGCATTCTCGGCCTTGAGGCGGTCCCGTAGAAGAAGCAACGGCCGATTGGGGTCAAGGAGCCCCATCATCATCTTCCCCAGTTCATTGTGTTTGATGGGCTTGGTGACATAGTCGTTGAAGCCGGCACGCGCGGCATCCTCGATCTGATCTGTCATCGCGTTGGCTGAAAGGGCCATGATCGGGATTTGTGGGTAGTGGTTCTTTGATTCCCAAGCACGGATGTCACGACAAGTCTCGTAGCCGTTCTTGATGGGCATTTGGATGTCGCACTGCAGGTTGTGTGAGCGAACTTGGGATCACTGGGTCTGCTTGCCGGGGGTGTCTTTCACTTACAATGATGAGAGAGTAGTATCCTGGTTCTTTGGAAAACACCATCTCTGTACACTCTTGTCCATTTGTGGCTGTCTCCGCCATGACCTTGATCTTGTCGAGGTATTTCATCATCACCTGAAACATGTCAGTATACAACGTAATGCACAACGAAAGGCACATGTATCCACACTTACCATACGGTTCGTATCATCATCCTCAACAAGTAGCACTCGGTAGCCTTTATTGCCGATGACCTCTTTCACCATCTTCGACATGGTCTTGAAATTGTTGTTGATTTCCCGGGCCATGTCCTGGTTCCTGTCCTTGCTCAGATCGCGTCGATTGTCGGGATCAAATATAGAGGAAAAGGCTGACGGCTTCACCGGCTTCGGAACAGTGTATATGCGTCTCCCGCTAGATGCCAATTCCTTGATCCTAGCATTGATTTGTCGCTTTTGATACAGATCCGAGATGATGACCAGACTTGGTGCGGCCTCCGGCTCGCACTCGGAGACATAATGCATCATATCCAGAACGTCATCCACGTTGGGCAAGTTGAGGACCAAATGGGTAAGCTTCGTGACATCACTGACTGAATCCCTCCAATCTTCCACATCAGGGGTGGAAGTGATAGAAAAGGGGACTTCCAGGGGGACCACCTGCTCGATATGTTGCTTGATAGCTTGACGGGTGTTGTCCAGAGGACAAAGAATAAGAATCGAGTAGGAGCTGGGTAAAGGCTGCGCGTCCGATCCAGTGTACTCCGTAGGCTTGGTCGAGGCAAATGATTCTTGCGAGGGTGAGGAGGAAGATTGCGCCGTTGGCTGCGAGATATCACCGCTGGAGAGGACCGACTTGGGGTTGTCAAGCCTTGCTAATGGATCCAGCGTGTAGGGGTCTGGGGTGGGAAGGGCCGAGGAGATTGAAGACCTCTCGGAGAAGTTGATCGAAGGAAAGCGTACAGGGGTCTCGTAGCTTGTCTGTGATTGGGTTAGAGGGGTCTCAAGAGTAGAGGAGAAATCGGCCGCGTCGGGTCCTCTGCTATCCATAGAGTCCTTCCTGAACAGCATCTTCTGCAGCGGATTCGGCTTGAGGTGCTCGAGGAAGACATCAGAGGTGCTGGACGATTGACGGACAAGCCGCGGCTCGTCGGAAGTTGGCGGTGGAGGAGCGTCGACTTTGACATAGAACGAAAATTTGGCACCTTGCCCTTCTTTACTGGTGGGCGTCAATTTGCCACCATGCATTTCGACAAGCTGTTTCGATAAAAATAGCCCGAGACCGCTACCCGCATGCTGCTGAGAGCCGTTCTGTCCCAGTTGACTGAACCTCTGCATTAATCGCTCTGCATCCCTGACGCTGAAACCTTTGCCGGTATCCACAACGTCGAAATTCAACAACAACTCCGTGGACTTGGGAGTGGATGGGATACCATCATAGATCGAGCAGCATATATGGATCTCACCCTGAGCAGTAAACTTGACTGCGTTGCCGACCAGGTTGATGAGGACCTGTCGTATACGAAACCTGTCTCCTATAACCATGGGTGGCACATTTGCGTCCATCAGATAGTTGATTTCAAGGCCCTTGTCGATCGCCCTGGACGAGACGGTGTCGATGACATCCTCAATCACAGACCGTACATGGAACCATGAGTTGACCATTGTCATTTTACCGGCTTCCACCCTGGAAACGTCCAGAATGTTATCAACCAGCTCTCGCAGGTTGGTTGAGCTATTCTGAATAGTGTCGAGCATGCGTCTCTGATCAGTGTCGAGCTGGGTGTCGAGAATGAAAGGGATGGTGCCAAGGATGCCGTTCAGTGGAGTCCGAATTTCGTGTGACATGTTGCTGAAGAACTTCGTCTTCGATTCCATCTGGTTATTGAGTTGCTGCATGGCTTTATTGAGTTCGCGTTCGAGGTTCTTGCGGTCATTGATATCCGTGCATGTGCCGTACCATGAAGCTTCTCCTTCCCCGCTTCCAAAACTGCTAGTCTCGACACAGACCAGACGAACCAGATGCCATCTGAAATCCCCTCCCCTGGAGCGAAGCCTTATTTCGGTAGAGTAAAAGACACGTCCATTCTCGTCTCTCTGCACAGAAGCAACTCCACGCCTCACAAGTTCTTCCAATGCAGGTGTAACGCCCTGGCCAAATTGACTGTCTTGCGAGACAGCCTTACAAATGGCCTCCGCTGCACTTTCATCGGGTTCGGCGGTGGACTCGATCTTCTGCGGCTCAGAAAGGTATAGGGAAAGAAGACCGCATTTCTCCAAGTCATCGGTGTGGACGTGCTTGGCGAAGCCGAAGTTCAGCGCTTCCTCCAGCTTCTGACCAGTGTAGAGGTGCCATTGCTCATTGACGAAGATGAGGCCCCTATATTCTGTAGCCTCGAAGACAATCTGGGGAATGGAGTTGGAGAAGGCTCGATATTTGGCATCGGTCGCGAATTTCTCTCTTTCTTGCGCAGCTTTCAATTCAGCAATATGTTGCTCGTGTATGTCGAGAAACGATCCGATCCAGTAAAGCACCTCCCCGGTGGAAGATAGCAAAGGGTTTGCCCGGAAGATGAACCATCGATATGCCGACTCGTCATTGAAGCGTTTGACCCGGACACGTTCCGTAAATTGTGACCCTGTACGTAATGCGTTCGCCCATTCCTGAGACATGTGCTCTCTTTCGCTACTATGAATATTCTGCCAAACGTCCCGCAATTTCTGCTCTTGAGGTTGACTCCTTCGGTAGGCATCAAATTTCGAGTTGGTCCATATTACCTCTCCACTCTGGGGTTTCGCAAGGAAAAGATGTAAGGGTACCGAGTTCAGCATGAGTTGCGCCACTGTATCGGAGAATGGACGGGGTAGTTCGCGTTGCAGCTGGGCGTAAAAGGAATTCGTTGAGGGATGGCGGGAGGCAGTCTGCGTTGGTGATATAACCTGAGGTCCTTTCACATCCTGCAGAGGAGATACAACCCCTGGACTTTGGTCTTGCGGTGTGGCATCTTCCTCGGCAGACTTACTTACAATTCTCCCGGGTGACGTGGGGGTTGATGACGCCATGTTCTGTCTCATCTTACTCAATCTGTTCCGGTGCTGAGTGATGGCGTCCCGGAAACTTTTTGACTGGTGCACGTTGAAGTAGCCATCGGGATTATCAATCCCTGTCTTATGCACCGCCCCAGGCGATTCGCAGAAATTGCTGCCTCCTGACGCAACAAGACCGAGATCAACTCCAGGTGTTCCAAGATTAGATAGCGATGGGCTGAGCTTGGTAGAACTCGACCTTTCTTCTGGACTTGAGATACTAGCTCGAGCTGACAAAGAGCCATCGTCCGCTATCGTATAGCTCACATGGCCGCTGAGACCTGCGACCAGTTCCAGCTCGCTGCTTTCATCAGAGAAGGTTCCGCCGAGTCCCAAGAGCTGACCATAGCGAGGAGCCTCAAGCCGCGAAGTGACTTGACGCTCAAGCTGGCTGTAGTGTTGCGCGAGACAAAACGAAGTGGTGAGATGAGGCATAAGATATGATAACGATCTTCGCAAATTCGTGGGGTAAGGGATAATGGGAGACAATATGGAGATCACGGCGACCGGGAATCGTAAGGTGGATGGTGAAGGATCCTTGGCGCGACCGACATGCAGAAGAGGAATGTGAACCACCGACTTGGCCAGGTCAACGCCAATGGCTTCTAGTGGTCCCAAATTCGAATAATCGTGAGGGGGGGGATTCTTTGCGAATGCGCTTTCATCGACGGCGTGACTGACAAAAAATGGATTCTGCTCCGCATGAGAGCGAGGCGCGGGCGATGGAGCAGGGGACTGAGACCAAGGAGACGGTGGCACCTGTTCATACTCATCAAACAACTCCATAGACGGGGTCACCCTAGTCTTAAACAGACCAGGATTGGATACCGCTCGCGTTCGAGCTGTAGCTGGTTTATTGGAGGAATTTGGTTCAACAATTGGTGTGGCCTGAGGTTTGTCTTCTGAGGTTTCGAGGGGATCTCCTTGACCTGGACGATCAGCCGACCCCTCTGAATACTCTCTTGTCAAAACAATAGGATCGGTGCGCCCGAAGAGCTTCACCACCCCGGTTCTCTTGATTAGCGGGTCGGATTCAACTTCCAGCGGTCGGGGCACGGGGAAAACTGCTTGGCGATAGTTTGGCAATCCAAACGAAGACACCGGTTCGTTGGTTGAGGTTTCAATCTCAGGATCTGCTTGCTTGTTCTCTGTCTTCGGTAGACAATCAATACTTTCGTCTCGTTGAGACCCCGGGTCGCGCCAGTCCGAGTGTTTCCGTTCCTTTCCAAAGCCAGCGAACGAATGCCGTGCCAGAAGGGACGGTCGCTTCGGCGAATGAGCAGCTCTTGACCCATTCAAAAGAGCTTCTGCGACCAGCCCTTTCTTCTTCCCTAGTCCTTCGCTGCTCTCCTTTGCGGGGTTATTGCCGCTCGAAGTGGCCTCACTTGGCACTCGGTCCGTTCGCACATCCTCCGCGTCGGTAGGTACGGCGTCTGGGTCGAAGACCGCTTTCTGACCCCATGGAACATTCTCCAAGTCTGTCGCATCTCCCGGTACGGCCAGAGATACTCTCTCTGCTCCGTAGTGCGTCTGCAAAATCTGGACTACGTTCGCCCACCATGCATCTAACCCGGGATCTGCGTTCAACTGCAGGGTAAGTTCATACAGATTGGGACTGGGGTAAGCGGGGTCCTCCGGTACAGGCCTATAATGAGGGGGTAGGAAAACGCCTGGAGGATGTGTAGCAGCAAATAGCTGATCGTCCGGGATATCGGACGGCCCCATTCGGGCCTTCATCTTATCTGCCGGCAGGGTCAACTTGAAACCATTGTGATTGAATGCGGTGTCCCGTGCTGCTCTCGTTGAAGACTGCGACTCCATCCTCGGAAAAGGGTAAGAGGGAGTTGGGCCGGGGAGGTTGTCGGGAGAAGTGTTGGAATCCATGGCTCTAATTGTACCACCAGAACCAGTGGAGTCGGAGTATGATGCAGAGGGCAATGCTCCCGCAGTTGAGAGGGTTTTCGCAAACGAGACATTGAGGGGTCGCTTCCTGGTTGACTCTGTGGTGCTCGAAGGTGCGGGATCGGTTTGCGATGCAGAGATCTCTCGAGCAGCCGAGGAGGGTTGGCTTTGAGATTGTTGCATTTGTTGATAGACCAGTAATTCCTCCATCTGCCTCCGGAGTTCCTTGAGGGTCTGCAGACTGCGCCCTTGATCCTCCTGGGTTCCTTTTCCCGCTTCAGGGCTTTCTTTTTTCGGAGGCGACGGAATGTGGCATGCGGTCGCAGTCTGTTCGTGCGATATAGAGGAAGAGTGAGAGTTAGCATTCCACGTACTTTTCTCCAACGGCGCATCTTCATCAATTGCATAGTGAACATCGTGGACAGAAATAGAATTGGTTGACTGCAGGGAAGGTCGACAATAGGATTGGGGCGCGGCGACAGGCGAAGGGGCCTCGGCCGGCGATGGAAGCGGAGGTGTCTTCATGCTGTTAACTTCGCCCATCCTAATTTCTCCCTCCACCGCCGGTCACAAATCAATTCTCCTGGGCGAATCCAACTCCACGGGAGCCAACTGAGGCACTCATCTCTCGGACGAAACGGTCCGCAATCAGAATTCGTGGAAGAAGCGAGAGGAGATTGGAGAGGGAGCAGTTGGTGAGAATAGTGAAAATATGCAGACGACGCGAAAACCGAACGAACAAATCGAAGCGAGAATCCGAACAGTCGGAAGACAAAAAGAGAGTATTGGATACTATTGGAGCGGGATGGTGTATATAGCGCACACGGTGAAGAACCCGACGAGCGAAAAGAAAAGGGGTGGTGTGGATTGGTTCGAAATTCAAGGCAGTCGAAGGGGTTGGGGGGGAGGGGGGCGCTTGATTCTGCGACCCAGAAAAAACGTCCGAGATGCGTTTCTTGGAGCCGAGATATGGGGCGTAGGCAAGAGAAAGGAATATACAAGGGGAAAAAAAGGGAAAAAAAAGAGACGCAAAGGGGAGGAGGAAATGGAAAATGGCAGACGAACGATTTTTTTCCCGAAAATGGGCCGTTAGAAGGAAGGTGACTAAAGCGGTGTATATCGGATGGTGGTTATGGGGGGGGAGAGTGGGAGGGGGGGGGGGGGGGGGAGGGGGGGGGGGGCGGGGGGCGGAGGGGCCGGCGGGGTGAAGTGGTGGTGGTGGTGTTGGGTGGATATGAATAGAATGAGGTGAAATGAATGGGATAGGATAAATGGAATGGGGTTTAGGACTCAGTAGAAGCAGTAGTAGCAATACCAGCACTACTAGTAATAGGGTGTTGGGTTTGAGTTTAGTTGGTGGAAGGAGATTAGGAGAAAAGCTCAACTTGATCTGACCTTTCCTAGTTGTAAAAGCAGAATGAAGCACTGGCAGCAAGGTTCTACTGCTATGCTAAAATGCTAGTACAATAATGAGAAATAATGTATTGACCCAGCCGACAATGAGATCGTCGATTTGTGCTGGCAAAGTTCAAGATGTGGAAATGGTCCGTCGCCCCGGGGGGGAAGGGAAGTGGAAAGTTCCAAGCTATGACGTAGCTAAGGCAAGCCCTGGACTGGGCTGGGCTGGATGAATTGGAGGGAGGGGGGAGAGGAGAGGGGACAGAGGAGAAGAGGAAAAAGGGAACAAGAGGGAAAGTAAGAGAAAAAAAACTCCCAAGGGCTATTTTCGGCACTCTTCTACTATTAATCTTCTCCTGTCAAAAGACGTCTCCCAGTCTTGGGGACAGAGTAGAGGATAATTCAGTAGAGGTAGAGCCGATTGATTGTCCGCTCTTGATGACTGGCAAACACTAAGTAATCCCGTCAAGCCGCCGCAAATAGCCAAGTGTGGAAGAGACAGGAGAGAACCTGAAAAGAACGAACTGCAAAATTGAAGACAGATCGGGAGGGAAGTAGGATAGTCCGCTACGGGAAAAGCGAAAGCAACTTACAAGGAAGTCAGTCACGAGAGAACAAGAGAAAGGATGGGCAAACCAAGTAACCAAGTACTGTACTGTCGTAGTCCTACTGCCTTGCCTAGTCTCAGTAGCGAGCAAAAAGGTCAAGAATCCAAGAATGAAGGAAAAGACCTGGCTGGACACGGTCTTTTGTTGACCAAAACAGTTTTCAAAGTTTCACTAGGCAATGAACAAGGTTCTTAGTATATTAGCTGCAATACATTGTGCATTGTGGTGTATAGTAGAACAGGAGTAGTAGTAGCAGCAGCAGCACGAGTGCACATACAGTACATGATAGTAACTTCAGGAACCTTACCCCTCTAAATGATGCCACATCCAAATTAGTCGCAGGAACGACAAATGCTGGGATGACATTGACATACCTAAAAGTAGACTAGTGTAAGGGCAGCCCCCGTCTTGAATTTGCATCAAGTAAGCAAGCCCTCTCCGCCCATGCCGCCACCATCATCATCATTACTACCCATTATTATCTTCTGTAGTACAGAGTAAATACAGTCAGTACTCTTATTAATAGACCATTGCTTGCTTATCCTCCGGTCAATATCCTTGAACCGTTCTGCATTCCACCTTTCATCGATGGTTCCAACAGTGGCGCCCTGAATACGGTGGAGCATCACAGTAGCTGCTTGCTCATGGCTGCATCATCGAGCCGCGACAGATGCCTGTCCTCTGCACTGCCGTCGTACCCTCCTTGGTCACGAGCCACTTGCGCGGTGCCTAAGGCTGAAAACTCTTCCACTTTCTCCCCCCTCACGTGAGACCCTCAGCTCTTATTCCCGGATAATGGGTCCGTCCACTGTGTAGCAAGCAAATGGGACGTCCTGCCGTTGCGAAGAGTGGACGAAGAACAGAAACCAGACCAAAATGTATGCTTAGTAGGTTCTTCGTCATACTACTTCGTTTTAACTTGATAGGCTTTGCCGCTTTATTTGAAATGACCCCGTTAGGCGATCCCCGAGATCCTCAACAATGGTTCGTGAGGCACGCGATCTGCGCAATAACCACTAACAGACCATGTGTTCGCTTCACTTCTAGACCTTCCCAAGGTGGTGACTGGATTGTTGCTTCCATTCATGATGGCATTTCTCTTGATGTGTCTAGCCGAGTCCTGGTAACTAGACTAGGTCCCCCGCAATAGCTATGCCCAATTTTCATCGCGATACCATGTTATATATCGTCGTCCTCCTGACACTGCGTTTAATGACTTGGAGAACAACCTTTTTCTCAAGGTATCTTACGCTACCCAGTCTTGTGAGCTTTGGATTCTTGATTTCTGCATATGAGCTTTTATTTACCCCCACAAGGGTGTAGCTCAAATTGTGCAATGGACGAGGTCTATTCTAAACACCTCAAGAAAACTCCGAGCAAACCCGGGGTTTAGAACGAGAATGATGATCGCAGAACAGCGTCTCGGATTCGTGGTCTAGTACTGTACTCCGCGGACAAGTCTCGCTCGCGATGACGGCATGGAACCGTCAGTGTTCAGTGTTGCCGCGTGGGTTGGCAGTCTCCCAAGCACCAAGCATTTGGTACCATGGGAGTCCGCCAGGCTAGCATACTTTATTTCCTGCTCAGACATCCAGCTTCAGGGAGCTCTAAGTAGCTAGCTGGGAGCCTGCGAGATACACCGCCTGCAGCGGCAGAGTCCATCCACGTATCACCTTCGGTAGTTCGTCTGCAGCTATACTGTACCTACCGTGCAGCGGACCCCCTTTCTTGCTGCTGGCGCTGCATTGCTTACTTGTTTGACTAGTGTAAGTGCAGGAACCTGACGATCTTAAAACCGATGGTATGACGAAGCCGTGTTCCATGTCGGTGCTGGAACACGTGGGAGGGGAGACATACTCTAGTACTGAATACTCACACCCTGAACAAATTTACATTGAAGAATGTTGAAGTAGTCTGGCACAAACGATCGGGTGTTCATGACAATGTGCCGGTGACATCTTCGCATGCTACCGAGTACTAGTTTAGTTAAACTCAGATTAGGACTGACTGACTTTCAGCCAGGCCCCAGAGCCCTGTTGAGCCCTGTTCCTCGAATCAGAATTCCGAAGTGGCCCCCCTTCTTCATTATGATATTCAGTAGTATGCTCTTTAAGCAAAATATTTCTTTGGTCGCCATGGGCTACAGTTAAGAAAGTGCTAGTGTAGCCATTCATGGGCAGACCAGTGCCATTGATCGTCCCCGTACTTTGGCTAATTCTTGGCAGCCTACAGAGTACTTCTGAATGCATGATTTATGCATTGCACTGTACTACAATAGACCACAATGTGACAGGCAGGAATAAGTAAGGTCTCATTTGAGAAAAAGAGAAAAAAAGAAAAAAGGAAAAAAAAAAAAAACAAATCTTTTAGTCTCCTACACTAGTCCTTACTAGAGTAGGAAAGTTAAACAAAGGTGGGTAGAGAAAGCTGATGGCGATGGGTGGCATGTTGCCAGTCGACTGTTTGCTGCCTGCCATCCATCCATCCATCCATCCACCACGTTGTGCCCTGAAAACGAGTAAGACAAATCGACGGCTGATCGGCCGCCCACTTTTTTTTTTTTTTAACTTCAATTTCCCTCGTGATGCCCAACGGCAGCTGACTCAGCCCAGAGCGAACGAACGAACCCTCTCTGAATGAGGGAATTTGCAGCCTCAGGCAACTATACCCACTTCGTCCCTCTCAAACCATGAGTTCCAAAGTTCCAAAGTTCCTGTCTCACATCGAAAAAGGACTGGAGTCTGTCAAAGTTGTTCGCTCACACAACCCATCATTCTTGACAAAGGGGTAGGTCCTAGTATTGAGGTAAGCCTACCATCCAAAAACTACATCCCATCTGAGCGAAGGAGATTCCCCCCAAGCAAAATGCGCACAACCGTGCGGTCTCGACTGGAGCCGTTGACCTTTACCTAATCTAGTCCTAAGGAGCGGCAACACTCACTCACTCACTTTCGCTCCCTCGTTCTCCCTCCCTCCTCTCTCTCTCCACCGTCCTTGGCGACGATTATCGTTCAAACTGTTTTCGTTCTTATGAATCTTCTCTCGGACCATTCCGACCACCCCTTCTTTCGAGTACGAGTGCGTCTACACACGACAGCAGTCCATTCATCTATGGCCGTCAATTGAGGGGTGACATTCTGTCTGACACAATTGTTTATTGTTGGGTGCGATGGACGATAGCCATATCTTGGGGGACGACTTGCCGCTCCCCCCGGCGCGGCTCTTCGAGAGATTGGCACAGCTACCTGGATATACCTGGGATCAGTCCGTTGAGCCGTTCCACTCTACCTACAACCACTGGCACGTCTTCGGCCTTCGTCATGCCGTTGAATCTGATGTTTCCACCCCCGCCGCAACCTCCTCGGGCCCCTCCAGTCTGGCTCGCCATTCCCCGCGCACCGAATCCCGTCCCCCGTTTCGTCATCATTGGAGGAGCAGCCTTAGCGAGTCCAGCAGCGAATTATCGCTGTCTCGTATCGATCATGAGCCAATATGGATCCCAGTCGTCGCCCGTGTTTCGTCCCACGTTGTCAGACTCGAGCGCGAATTTCATATGCTACGGTCGATTGTGCAAACTTCGGACCCAGATTGCAATCACACAATACGACCGATTGATCTGATACGACTGCCTCCAGACCCGGGGGATTCGGGCACTCTGCTCGTGGCCCTCTTCGAATCGCCTGGTCCGAACATGCTGCGGGAGATGGTCGCTTTTGGACCCGCTTGGTTTGCAGTTGGCGGCAGGACCGACAGCAACGAGCCCACACCCGGAGAGCAGGTATCTCTTTCGGTATTTCTTGACTTTGCGATTGGGGCATGTGATTGTTTGGAACTTCTGCATTACGGCCTCAAAACCGTCCATGGTGAGATTCGGGGAGATGCCTTCCACTTCAACCGGGAGGCTCGTTCGGTGAAGCTGACCAACACTGGCAATGGAGCCCGCTCATTCGACAACATCTTGAGCGAGGGCTGGTCGTCGCTCTCGAGGGAACTAGGCGTCAAGAACAAGCTACAATTTATCGCACCAGAGCAGACGGGGAGAATGCCAACAGAACCGGACAGCCGAACAGATATCTATGCGCTTGGCGTGCTTTTCTGGACTATGCTGGTGGGTAAACCGGCCTTCACAGGCAGCGATCCCGTCGAAGTTGTGCAGAACGTTCTCGGAAAGAAGTTGGTCCCCGTTTCAGCGAAGAGGATGGATGTTCCGGATGCCGTATCGGCTGTCATTCAGAAGATGACGCAGAAGGCTGTCAATGAACGCTATCATACGATCTCTTCCGTTAAGCGAGACCTAGCGCAGATCTCCCAGTTACTTGGAGATGGTGATAGCGAGGCCTTGAAGGACTTCCAGATCGCACAGCGGGATGTCTCATCTTTCTTCACTCTTCCGTCTCGCATGTTCGGACGACGTGAAGAATACGACAAGATCATTAGTGTTGTGGAGAAGGTTCACAGGCGCCAACAATCTGCCTATGCGAGAGCTGGAGCGCAAGCTTCTAGTGGAGTGGGTTCGAACTCGTCCGTGTCCGACGGCCGAGTAGACAGCTTTGAGATCGCGTCGGGTTCAAGCGACTCGGGTTCATTCCACCTAGCTTCAAAAACTACTAATGGTGGCCCTCTAGGTCGGGTCTCTACGCATGAGTCTCTGCATAGCACGGAGTCTTCCCTTTCAACCCCAAAGCCGGGAAATGCCTCTGGCAAGCTCAAGAGTCCGGTGGAATCACGCGCATCTTGGGATATTGCAGACCGAGATAGCCATCCTTCGATGGGCACAAGCACGCAAAGTCATGGGGAGTCAATCACTTCTGTCACTCGACCTAAAGCTGCCAATAAAGCGCGTCGAGTCGGAAAATGTGAGATCATCGCCATTAGCGGCGCGGCTGGTATTGGCAAAACCGATCTTGTAAACCGAGTTCAATCAACGATACGTAAACTTGGGTACATTGGCATAGCTCGTCTGGACCGAGCTAGGCGAGTTCCCTTTGAGCCTTTTGCGAAGATCCTGGCTAGCCTTCTCCGTCAAATATTCTCGGAACGTGATGTCACCACCGACTATCATAACAATGTCCGCACAGCGCTACGACCCATGTGGCCGACCTTGCATCGAGTCCTCGAGCTTCCGGAACAGCTCATGTCATCTGGTAACAAGGATAAGCAGATCTCACCTAGGCTTTCTGCAGCGCAGCATATATTCAAAGATGTCTCGACCAAAGGAGAACCATCCAAGCGCGTAGCAATGCCTCGTCTTGACGACGGGCAAAGCTCGGTCGACTTTTTTCTGTCCAATGCCGCACTGAAGAACATGCGATTGATGGAGACATTTTTGGAGATCCTGAAAACTCTATCGCAGTACAGGGTGATTTGTGCATGTGTGGATGACCTGCACTATGCCGATGACGAAACCCTGGAACTGATTATGAACATTGTGAAAGCCAAGCTACCTTGTGTGCTGATTCTCACGAGCCGACAGTCGGAACTCGAGTCAGATGCCATTAAGTCCCTTTTCGAAGCGGAAAACCCTAACGTGACCCGAATTATGCTGAAACCTCTCGGAGAAGAAGAAATCATGCAAGTTGTAGCGGCCACGATGCACCAAGCTCCAAATCCAACATTAACGCCACTTGCAGCCGTGATCCAAGAGAAGAGCATGGGCAACCCGTTCTTTGTGCGAATGATGTTGGAGACTTGCTATAGCAAAAATTGCATATGGTATTCCTGGAAAAACTCTACCTGGGAGTTTGACTTGGATCGTATTTTCACCGAATTCGTGGCACCTAGGTATGGAGAGGGCCTCGGGCTTGGTTTTATTGCTCGGCGTCTTCAAGAAAACCCTACAGCGGCAAGGTCCATCATGGTTTGGGGAGCGTTGTTGGGAAGCCCGTTTGCCTTCTCGCTGGTCCAAAAGCTTCTTACAAGCGAGTTTCTATTTTCGAGTGATGACGACGAAGCTGTTGATTTGACGTGCCCTCAGAATGCGAACCTGATTCGACAGTCCGAGGCCGACATTATCGTTGGGCTGCAGTATCTTGTCCAAGCAAACCTTATCATTCCCGGGAAAACGGACGATGAATTCAGGTATGCACCCCGAATAACTTAATCTGACCCCCACTAGATCGTTCCGCTGACTCGGGCCGCATAAGGTTTGTAAATGATCGGTTCTCACAAGCCGCATTGTCATTGACTGAAGGTCGAAACGTTGAGAAAATGCATTTC